AGAGAGGGTTGCTAAGCTGGATTATTAGGGTTCCTCAGTCTCTCACCGCTCCTTTGTCCTCCTTCAGCTATACCCTCTTAGGGCAAAATTCTTCTCCAAACAAGGAGCTGAAAAGAGGAGGTGGTAAGAAGAATTGGACTTCCAAAAGCCATGTCCCAGGTAAGTTGATGTTACCTCTTCCGCCCCTGAAATAGTCCTGGTTTTCAGAACTTTGTAATGTTTCTTGCTTTCTGAACTAGGAACCCTGGGGCCTAGTTCCTCTTTCTTCCCAGTGTGGTAAGTGTTGAGACCGTAGGGCTAAACTCAGGATGCCCCCCTCAGAGATTTATTTTCTTCCTTGTTAAGTGCCGTCGAGTCGACTCCAACTCATAGCAACCCCGTATAGGGTTTCTGAGGAGCAGCTGGTGGGTTTGAACTGCCGACCTTGTGGTTCAGTCTAGTGCTGGTCCTACAGCACCATACCAGGAGTCCGATTTTCTTCCTACTTCGTGTTTATTTTTCATTCAAGAAATGGCCTGGTCTCCGCCACCTCATGCTCAGTCCTCTCCTGGACATCTGATGGAGTAATAAGCATAAGTAAGTATAGTGTGGAGGCAGTTTGAGAGCTGCTATCGTCCTGGTCCTTATGTGCCAATCCCATTTTAAAGACTTTTACATTATATGGTGGTTCTTTTGCACTTTCAGATTTGGAATTTAGGAGATTTTTATATATTTATTCACTTAGTCATCAAGCCAGTCAAGTTTGGCATTTTGGAAACATTTTGGCTTTGCCTATATATACATGGTGTGACATTGTAAGATAATGCACTGGATCGCAACGATTTTGAACTGCAAGGTCGGCAGTTGAAACCTACCAGCGGCTCCTTGGAAACTCTACACAGGGTCTCTATGAGTTCTAACCGACTTGATGACATTTAACAATGGTATATACTTACTAAATGTCTTCAAGGAGTCCTAGTGTGGCAATGTAGGATTAGCACTGGACTGCAAACTGCAAGGTCAGCAGTTCAAACCCATCAACCACTCCACAGAATCCCTATATTGTGTCACCATGTGTTAGAACCGACTCACCAGCCCTTAACAACCACCACCCAAGATATGAGTTGGAATCATCTTGACAGCACATAACAGGCAACAGCTGTCTCCAAAGTTCGAGGTGAAGACCTACAACGTGTGTGTGATACACTAAAAGCTTTAAACAAATACCAGTGGGTGTTAACTTCCCGTGGATTAACAATGTAAAGCTAAGCACAGCAGACTGAGTTTGAGACGGTCTGACTGTGGGGTGGGGTGGGGTGGACTAAGTGTCCACACACTGAAAGGGCAGAGTGTCCAGAGCAGCTATTTCAAGATTCTGAAAAGGAAACAGTAACAGGTGGATGGAAGGCCAGTATTTGAAGAACATCAAACCTGTAAGAGTTTTACTGTTATTTTTTCTTCCACTATGTCCTGGCATAGATCTAACGAGCCCAAAATGTAGACATGGACATTGGTGAGAACAGAAGAAGGAACGGTAGAAGGCTTAGAGTCTCAAGGAGGAAAAAATTAATCTCCTAATACGCAGAGAGAATGGGGACATCTCTCTCTACACCACCCCTCCCCCCCTTTTTTTTCTATTTTCTTATCCTCCAGTAGTGCCAGTGGTTGTAAAGGAGCCTGAACATCTAAAGGAGCGGAAGTTTTGTCTCTGCTCAAAGGAGCCGTGGTCCCAAGAGGATGGACTAAACTTCCACGGCTTTATTTCTGTTTCTGTCCTCTTCCTGCGTGGCCCCAGAAATGGGTACAGTCACAGAAAGTGCACAACAGAATGGGAATCAATAAAGCACCAGCTGTCTGGCTGGATTACCAAAGAAAGGAGACCGAGAGAACCAGAAAATACGAGAGAGGTCACAGAGAAGGAGGATCTTTGGAAAGCAAGCCTATAAAGTTGTTGATGAACTCCTGGGCTCATTCTGAGTTATCCCTGCATGTGTCTGATTTTAAAGAGCATGCCATACTCTTTGAGCACTGAACTAAAGGATAGACCACTACCCAGGATGCAGGTTGACCAAAGAGTGGTACGTAAGTAGGACGGAAGTAAATACCACTCCAGAGACTCAAAATAGAAGGCCTATGGAAGCGATAGCTGACACAAGTTTGGTGTTGCAGCTTGAACAAAATATCAATATTCTTCAAACAGTGTAGTCTCATAATACTCAAAATGTCCAGGATGTAACCCAAAATTACTTAGTTATGAAAAACCAGGAAAATCTCAATATGCATGGGGATTGATAACACTAGATTGTTACTGTTTAAACATCAAAATAACACTGATGTTGTAATTTTCTGCTAAAGACTTTAAAACAGCTGTAGGATAAGTGCAGGACCCTAAGGTCTGTTTTAACCAAGGTCAACGATTCAAATTCACCAGTCACTCCTTGGAAAACACTCGACTGGATTGCTATGAGTCACAACTGACTCAACAGTATTTAACAACAATATTATACAAATATTCCAACAAGTAATAAGATAAACACTCTCTAAACAAATGGAAATACAGAAAGTTTCAGTCTAGAAAGAGAAAATATAAATGAGTGAAAAATGAAATAACCAAAGTAAATTCACTAGGTGATCTCAATGGCAGAACGAAGATGACAGAGATAATGAACTTGAAGATAAATAGAAGTTTAGTCTTAATCAGAGAACAAAGATGGAACAGAATTTCCGTGGCCTCTGGGACAGTGCCAACATTCCTTCTTCAGTGGAGACAAGTCCCAGAAGGAGAGGAGAAAGTGCAGTATAGAAAAATATTTTAAGAAACAATTGCTTAAAATTTACCAAATTTGTCCAAAGACATAAACCTATGGATATTTTAAGCACCACAACCCAAACATGATGAAACTCAAAATTCTTGACCAGACACAAAAATCGAACTGCTAAAAACTTAACAGAAAACTTATTGAAAGTACCCAGAGAAACATTGGCCAACAGTGGTTTCAGTGACTGTATTTCTCATTAGAAACCATGGAAGCCAGAAGGAAGTAGGCATATCGTTTTTAAAAGCTCAAATGAAACAGTTGTTAATCCATAATTCTATAAATATGTCTGCTGAAAATACCTTCTAGGAATGAAAGTGAAATCAAATTTTCACTTAGGAAGAAAAAAAAGTAAGAATTAATTACCAGTAGGCCTACTCTCTGGTAGCGTAGTGGTTATGAATCGGGCTGCGAACCTTAAGGTCAGCGGTTCGAACTACCAGCCACTCCGCGGGAGAAAGATGAGGCTTTCTACTCCTGTAAAGATTTACACCCTCGGAAACCCTGTACGGGGTAGCTATGGGTCGGAACCGACTCGATGGCACTTAACAACAACAACAACAGGCTTACTCTTACTGAATTGCTAAAGGAAGTTCCTCAGATAGAAATCATACCAGGAGATTTGAATCTTCAGGAATTAAGGAAGAGCAACATAACATATGTGTTTGTATAAATAAAATAATGATAACTTTATATATGGGTCCTGGTGTGATGCTGTGGGTTCATGCGCTGGACTGCCATATCGGCAGTTCAAGTTCACCAGCTGCTCCTTGGGAGCTCTTAACAACAACAACAGAGAGAGAATACAAACTGCTAACCTTGTCGTTAACAGCCCAACATGTAACTTACTACGCTACCAGAACTCCTAAGACTAAAGCTAGAAGAGACATATTAAATAATTCACTATATCACAACACAGAACTTCTGGTGTGGTGCTGTAGGATAAACACTGGACTGTGAATGACAAGGTCGGCAGTTCAAACCCACCATTTGCTCTTCGGAAACCCTATACAGGGTCACTATGAGTCGGGACCAACTCAAAGGCAATTACCAACAAACTACAAATGGGCTCAAGCATGGCAACAATGGTGAGATTGGTCCAGGACCAGGCAGTGTTTCATTCTGTTGTGCATAGGGTCTCTAAGAGTTGATACCCACTCGATGGCCCCTAACAACAACAGCAGCATGATATCAGGAAGGACCTGTCCCTAGATCAGGATATCATATTTTGTAAAGTACAGGATCAATGAAAAGGAAGAGCCTCTAGGAGATGGATTGACACAGTGGGTACAATGATGGGTTCAAACCCAGCAGTGATGGTGAGGACAGTACAGGACTGGGCTACACTTGATTCTGTTATGTCCAGGGTCACTATGAGTTGGAACCAACTTGTCAACACCTAACAACCCAACATATCTCTGTCATTTCAGCAGTTCGTAAGCTTCACAGATGTGGCCATACACTTCTCGCAAAAAGAGTGGAAATGGCTGAACCCTATTCAGAGGGATTTGTACAGGGAGGTGATGTTGGAGAACTATAGGAGCCTTGTGTCTTTGGGTAAGAGAGCTTTTCTTCTTCTGCCTTCTGTTGGAAAGCCTATGGGGGGAAGTTCTCCTCTGTCCTAGAGCGCTAAGATGAGTCAGAATCAATTGGGCAATAACGGGTTTGTTTTGTTTTTGGCCTTCCTGTAATTTAGAAGTCCTTTCTGCCTGTCTTAGCCGTGTAGTGCTGTGATAACCAACACCATATGTGGGAGGCTTGAACATACAGAGATTTTTTTCTCACAGGTTAGGATACTGAAAGTCCAAAGTCAGCATGCCAGCTGTGTGGGGAAACTTTTTGTTAGCTTTGGGAAAAATTCTGCTCACTAAAGCTTCGGTTTTTGGTCCCTTGGAGGTCTCCAAGCGGCTTGTCCTCTACTTACTGATCTCTGCGTACCTAGTTGCTTCTTTCAATCTATCTTCTACCTCAAAAGGAGAGACTTCAGAAACATCCCATACAAATACTGTCTCATTAGCATTACAAAGACAAGGGATTTCCAAATGGGGTGCTAGCCACCTATTTGTGGGGAACACAATCAGCCCATAACACTACCTTTCTCAGCATTTTCCTGCATTGCCCTTCTCTCTCAATATCCCGAGGACTGGGTCCTAGTACCAGGATACCCACATTGTGGTGAATTTTCCTCTTTTTCTTCATTTGCAGGTCTTTGCATTTCTAAACCAGAGGTGATTTCCTTATTGGAACAAGGGAAAGAGCCCTGGCAGGTGAATGGACAGAGGACAGCAGGTGAGTGCAGGGTAACTGGATATGGGGAAACTGTTCTCAAGATGTATCTTCTCTGATCTGAAGGTAAGTCAGAAAGTACTGCTATTGAGGCTCTAGTTCACACACACACACACACACACACACACACACACAGATTTATTCCAGACGAAACACGTCTAAACATGTCTCTGCGATCAGTGAATGGCTGTGGACAAGTTCTCAGTGAAATATTTACCTTGGCCTCATTAGGGGCCCTTTCGAAGAAGGATCCAGTCAAACACGGACTGCAGAGAGGATCTGCCTGGCCAGTTAAATTGAAGGCCATTTTTGGGGGGATTGCGATTGACATTTTCTTGGTGGTAGGGGAGTTCCTAAGGTGTCATCTTCATAGATATTTTCTAAGGACACAGGACAGTCATGGGGGCTAATTAAGAAGTGGAAGAAAATTGAAAAATGTACTGGTGAGAAAAAGACCGAAAGTTGCTCCAAGGACTTTTTTCCCATCATGACAACGCACCTGCTCAGTCTTTGAGAGTAGCAAGGGTCGTCTTACTGGACTCTCAGTAGGAAATTCCCCGCTCCAGCCCTGATCTAGCTCCCTTAGACATCTTTATGATCCCCAAACTGAAACAACATGAGCTGAGTCCCTCGAGGATGCCCAAACGACTGATTTTACGTGGTGTAATTCAGACTGCAGAATTCTTTGAGGGAAGGGTTAGGCCCAGATGGAAGCTATGTTGAAAAACAATAGCTTCACATTCTGACATTTTTGTTTTAAAAGAGTCTTAGCATCTAATAGCAGTACTTTTTGACCGACTCTCTTATTTCCTGGATGATACCTTTCAGAGTCCCCCGCCTGGGAAGAACATTGAGGCCTCTCTAACATGTTGTTACGTGGTTGTCACTTCTGACTCATAGTGACCCTGTACCTAGTCCTGTGCTAACCGCACAATCGTTGCTACACCTGAGCTCATTGCTGCTGCCACAGTGCCCATCCATATCATTGGGAATCTTCCTCTTTTTCTTCGACCCTCCATTTTACCAAACATCAGGGACTGGTCCCTGCTGACAATATATGTCCAAAGTACGAAAGACGAAGTCTGGCCATCCTGACTTCTTCGGAGCACTCTGGCTATACTTTTTCCAACACCGATGTGTTTGTTCTTTTGGGAGTCCGTGATACTTTCAGTATTCTCCTCCAACACTGGAACTCAACTGCATCAATTCTTTTACGGTCTGCCGACGTAGGCTCTCCCAAATACCCTCCTTTTTACATGGCTTCTCTTATGTTGCTTCCATCTTTCTAACTGTTAACTCAGTTTGCAGTTCTGAGTTGTATTTCTAACAGCTCCCCCTCCTGTTTCTTAATTGATGTGCTTTTCGGTGTTGGATTGAATCATTGATAACTGAGTTTATTCGGTCACTCATTGAAGAAGCACTTCTTAACTGTCCATTGTACTAGGCACTCACTCTGCCAATGCTGCTTAGAGAGGTCAGTAAGTGTATATAAAATACCAAGAAATGTGTCATCTTTGGGGATAATATGGCGCACTGGTGGTACTATAGGGTAAGCACTGGACTACTCACCGCAAGCCCAGCAGCAGCTCCTCAGGAGAAAGAACAGGCTTTCTCTCCCATAAAGATCGAAAGCCTCGGAAACATATACAAGGTCACTATGAGTCAGAACTGTCTCAACGGCACTTAACAGGAACAGGAAGAGTGATAAGGCACGGTGACAGAGTGCGTTACCTATCACTCAGTCAACAACCAGAAGGCTGGCAGTTCAAAGCCCCAGCCGTTCCTCAGGAGAAAGATAGCCGTGTCCCTTGTTCTGTAGGGTCACTACACCCACAACAATGGGTGTAAATAACTTACCAAGTTACCAAGTCACTTTGACTCAAGGCAGCCCATGTACAACAGTCCTATGCCTGCTTCACAATTGTTGGACTGTTTGAGTGCATTGTTGCAATGTCTTTGTGTTTCTAGTACGTTCATTGTCCAGCATTAGATCAGACTATGTTCTGAAATCCATAGGATTTTTATTGGCTAACATGCTAGAAGTTAGGCAGCCAGGCCTTTATTCCTCATTTGCTTTAGTCTGGCAGCCCTGCCGAGACCTGTCCACTGTGGGAGACACTTGTCGTTTTTAGGGCTACCAATGGCAGAGCCTCCAGCACTGTGGTACCATGGAGGCACTACAATAGACAGGCAGTGTGTGTGTGTTTTACTTCAGTTCAGAGAAAAATCTACTGTCTAAGAAGAATCATTCATATTTTTTAGAGAAGTGTTTCTGTTTTTGATGTGTTATTTTAAAGTTTAGTTCAGAAAACAAGAGAGAATAGGAAAGAAGGCTGACTAGAAACTGGGACCCAGGGAGGAAGTGGGATGAGTGTTGGTACATGAGGGGAATTACAATCAGTGTCGGCAAACAGTGTCTATGAATTGTCGAATGGAAAACGAATTTGCTCTGTAAACTTATACCAAAATCACAGACACATTGAATAAACTTGATATAATAATATAAACCATAATGTACGAGGCCAACTTGGGGTGAGGAGGAACAGGGAAGACAAAAAACCCGATTAATGTCAAGTTGCCTCTGACTCCTGGTGACCCAGCGTGTGCCAGAGTTACACTGTGTACCACTTAAAACAAAAATCAGTTCTGGTCTATGATGGATACCCCTAAAGATAAAAGTGGGAATAAATTAATTAGCAAATAGTCAATGTGATGAAAATAAATTGGATAAAGCTTCTAAAAAATAAATATATTAACTGTCAGGACAACTGAGAGAATACAAAACAATAAGAAACGTCCGTGCAAGCAGGATTTGATCAGCACCATTTCTATCACTAGCCAGAAAAGTCTGGCGACCCCGTGACTTAATCCAGAATAATTATATGCGTCTCTCTTACTATAAACGCAAACAGTTTTACTGACGGTGTTAGATGCTGTGCAGTCCGTTCCGACCTAGAGTGAACCCCGTAAACTATTTGAATTGCACTGAATCATCCCTGGAGCTCCATTGTATAAGAAGGGTTTGATAAGTTTGTGGAAAAACTGAATGAAAAAGATACTGGATTTTTTTTTCCATGAACTTTTCAAAGTTCCTTATGTATATATCATAATTTAAGTCATTCTGTAAACACTTTTAATATTTTTTCCTACTTACCCAACCAACTCCTTTCGAGTCCATTTTAAGTCATAACTACCATGCAGGTCAGCGTGTAATTGTTCCCTATAGAGAGTACTGCGCCGTTAGGGAAGCAGACCACCCCAGTTTTCTCCTGAGGAGGGGCTGCTGGGTTTGAACCTCCAACCTCTTAGGTACTACCCAACACTTTGTCCATTGCACCACCAAAGCATCATCTAACGCACTGAGATAGTATATGTAGTTTTTCATTACAGTAATGATTAGGACTTTAACTATGTAACAACCATTTTATCCACACACGGCATTCACTGGATGCTTTCCTCACCTGTATCTATTTATCTATTGGGAGTTCTGGTGTGGTGCTGTGGGTGAACACACTGGACTGCAAGGCCGATGAGTCAAGCCCATCAGCTGCCCCTCGGAAACCCTGTACAGGGTCTCTGTGGGTCGAAACCGACTCAACGGTACTTAATAACAATCTATCTACCTACAAAAACAGAAATAACAATAAATACAACTTTATGCAAAAAATTTTAAAACCTAGATGAACGATGTTCTAGAAAAATCTTAATTGTCATAGTTTATACTACAAGAGATGAAAAATTTAAAAACAACACGCATCACTTCTACAAAAGTATCAAATAACTTGCTTAAGAACTGCCTCTTTCACAAGAAAAGAATTAACTGCCCCAAACAGTTTTACAAATAAATTCCATAAAACATTTGAGGAAAAATGTCAATAATGCTATGTCGTATGTTCCAAAGCAAAGAAATAAAGGAGAGCATTAAAAACACGTTTTTATATTTATTAAAAATTTTGTTTATAAAATTTTATAACATTTGATACTGTAATTTGTCATAATAGTATCAAAAAATAGAAAGTGCAGACCAATTGCAATTACGGACATTGATGAAAATTTTAAATAAAAGGTCACATTGAAATAATACAGCTTGACCAAAAATGGTTTGTTTATGGCGCACAGGGATGGCTGGTTTACGTAACTTTGTTTTGTTGTTGTTGTTAGGTGTTGTAGAGTTGGAACTGACTCATAGCGACCTTATGCACAACAGAACACACAGGCCCTTCTTCCCGTTGTTAGGTGTTGTAGAGTTGGAACTGACTCATAGCGACCTTATGCACAACAGAACACACAGGCCCTTCTTCCCGGTCCTGTGACAACCTCACAATACTTAGTACACTTGAGCCCACTGCTGCTGCTTCTGTGCCAGTCCATCTCGTTGGGGGTCGTCTTCTTTTTTTTGCTGACCGTCCACTTTACCAAGCATGATGTTCTTCAGGGACTGGACTGGTCCCTCCTGATAATAAGTCTGAAGTATGAGACATACTTCATACTGGCCATCCTGGCTTCTAAGGAGCATTCTGGCTCTACTTCTTCCAACAGATTGCTTTGTTCTTTTGATGGTCCATCATACTTTTAATGTTCTCAGACACCTTAACTCAAATGCTTCAGTTCTTCTATGGTCTTCTTAATTCTCTGTCTCACTCGCATATGAGGTTATTGGAAATACTAACACTTTAAAGTGGTCTCATACAATACATTTGCCAAATGTTGTAATACTTCGTTTGATTTCTTGACTGCTAACTTCCATGAGTGTTGATGGTGATCCAAGCAAAATGAAGTCTTTGACAACTTCAGTCTTTTGTCCATTTATCTGGATGCTATTTATTAGTCCGGTGGTGAGGATGTTTGTTTTCTTTACATTGAGATACAACCCATACCAAAGGTTGTGGTCTTTGATCTTTATCAGTAAGTATTTTAAGTCCTGTTTGCTTTCGGCAAGCAAGGGTGGTATCATCTGCATATCGAAGGTTGTTAATGAGTCTTCCTGCAACCTTGATGCCACGTTTTGCTTCATATAATCCTGCTTTTCGAATTACTTGCTCAGCATACAGATTGAATAAGTATGGTTAAAGAATACAACCCTGGTGCACACCTTTCCTAATTTTAAACCATGTGGTGTCACCTTTCCTAATTTTAAACCATGTGGTATTCCCTTGTTCTGTTTAAACAACTGCCTCTTGGTCCTTGTGAGCACAATTAAGTGTTCGGGAATACTTATTTTCCCATAATGTTGTCTGTAGCTTGTCATGGTCCACACAATTGAAAGCCTTTGTGTAATCAGTAAAACAGGTGAAAACTTTTCTGATATTTAGTGTGACCTCAGCCAAGATCCATATGACATTAGCAGTGATATCCCTTATTCCATGTCCTCATCTGAATCCAGCTTGAACCTCTGACAGTTCCCTGTCAATGTACTGTTGCACCCCTTTTTGGATTATCTTTAATAAAATTTTACTTCTGAGCTAGGACTGTCAAAGATATGTACTGCGTATGGGCATCAATAACTTCATTAACTGACTTGCTTTCTTAATATTTTTCAGACTTGAAGTATGTGTGCGTGACCAAGGTGCTATCTCCGGAGCACATTTATGAAGAAAAAACATCTCAGGCAATGCTAATGGGAAAGCTTCCAAGCTCTGGTTTTGAATATTCCACCGTGGGGGAAAACTGGACATCTGAAAACTTGTGTAGAGAGCTGCTAAGTGAGAAGACACATTTTAGTCAAGAGATAGTCAGTCATACAGATCCCCTTATTGAAGAAAGGGACTGTTCGGACAAGTCTGGGGCCATTTTTCCTCTGGATACAGCAGATCTTTCATCGCCCATGAAACCTGTCGTTCCTGTGGAAGAGAGAATATCTCTTTGTGACACAGGTAATACAAGGCTCAAAAAACATTCAGTTCTCAAAAAAGCCAAACATGCCTCTGGAGAAAAGAAACTTTTAAAATGTAATATCTGCGAGAAATTTTTTGCCCAAAACTCAAGCCTTACACTTCATCAAAGAACTCATACTGGAGAGAAACCCTTTGAATGTATTGAATGCAGGAAAGCCTTTAGTCAGAATGTCCACCTTATTCGACATCAGAGAATACACACAGGCGAAAAGCCTTTTAAATGTACAGAGTGTGGGAAAGCCTTCAGCCAGAATGCTAATCTTTTTCAACATCAGAGAATTCATACTGGAGAAAAACCTTTTCAGTGCAAGCACTGTAATAAAGCCTTCAGCCAGCTTGTACACCTTGCTCAACATCAGAGAGTTCACACTGGAGAAAAACCTTATGAATGTATTGACTGTGGAAAGGCTTTTAGCGACTCCTCATCCTTTGCTCATCATAAAAGGATTCACACTGGGAAAAGACCCTATAAATGTATTGACTGTGAGAAAGCCTTCAGACTGAACGCTTCCCTCATACGTCATCGACGATACTATCATACTGGGGAGAAACCCTTTGATTGTTTTGACTGTGGGAAGACTTTCATTGATCACATAGGACTTCGGCAACATAGGAGAATTCATACTGGAGAGAGACCATACACGTGTAATATGTGTGGGAAGGCCTTTAGCCATGGCTCAACCCTGACTATCCATCAGAGAACTCATACAGGAGAGAAACCGTATGAGTGTGCTACTTGTAAGAAAGCCTTTAACCATAGAGGGGCCCTGAAAGTTCATCAGAGACTCCATACAGGCGAGAAACCCTATGAGTGTAAAGAATGTGGGAAAGCCTTCCGGCAGAGCACATACCTTGCTCATCATCAGAGGATTCATACTGGAGAGCGCCCTTACGAATGCAGGGAATGTGGGAAGACCTTCAGGCAGAACGCACACCTTGCTCAACATCAGAAAATACACACTGGAGAGAAACCCTATGAGTGCAGAGAATGTGGGAAAGCCTTCAGTAAGAGCGCACACCTTGCTAACCACCTGAGTATCCACAGTGATGAGAAGCCTTATGAATGTGCTGAATGTGGGAAGTCCTTTAGTAACGGGTCCTATCTTGGGAAACACCAGCGAGTCCATACTGACAAAAGACCATATGAATGTTTTGAATGTGGTAAGGCATTCAGATACAAGCAGTCCCTTATTTGTCATGAAAGGTCTCATACTGATAAGGAACCTTATGAATGTAGTGTTTGTGGGAGAACTTTTAGCAAACACAATGCCCTTACTGTCCATAAGAAAACTCATACAGGAGAGAAAGCTTAGCAAGTAGAATGTAGAAAAGCCTTCAGCCAGATGACGAATTTAATTCTACATGAAAGAATCCATATGGGAGAAAGGTCCTATGAATGTACGGATTGCAGAAAAGTATTGAAGGAAAGCGTACTCTTTGCTCATCATCAGCAGATTCAGACTGGAGAGTGATCCTTGCTTACTTCCTTTTCCTGCCCCCAACACCGGAAAGCCTTATAGATTAAGCCTCCTTAAGTACCTCTGAAATTCATCCACTTTGCTTCCAGATCACATCCTGTTGTAGTCTAAGACATAACAATGTCAGTTGGATTTCTGCCTGTATGTTGCAACCAGTTCTGTTGCTCCTCTCAAATGTATTTGTAACATTGTAGCCAGCTCAGTCTTTTAAAAACAAAAATATGTTACTTTTCCATTTAAAATTCTAGTTTTGAGTATATTAGATAATCCATTAAAGGACTTTAGCACAAGTCATAAATAAAACATTAGTCTAAATGAACGCCAGCAGTGTGTTTGTGTGGAATGTGTGACTGGTCGCTTCCACAAACATCGGCCGCCTTTGCCATCAGAGCAGAACTGGGTGGCTACTGTTAGTGAATATTTTGATGAAAGATTCTGTAAAAGAATTCTGATCAAAGTGGGGAGAATACAGAATAGAGTTGCATATTCTTACGACACCCAGACTTCCTGGAGCCATGGAGATGGTATAAACCCATGAGAAACTTGTCCTAAGATAATCATTAAACTTTAAAACAAAAATATCCTCTGAAGTCTTCTAACTTGAGCAAAAGCTCTTTTAAGATCTATCAGGTTAAGTTCTATGGAGCTGGTTCCCTCTTACAATGGCCCTATATAGGGTTTCCAAGGAGCAACTGATGGGTTTGACATGTCGGCTTTGTGGTGAACAGTCCAGTGCTTATCCTACAGCACCACATCATGGGATCAGCAACCCAAAATACTCGGTAAGAAAGCTCAAAAAGGGACGAGAATGGTTGCATAATTTGAAGAATGCATAATCAGTGTTGCTGAAATGTACATGTAGAAACGAATTGGTATACTTTTCCTGTGTATATTCTCGAAAGCATTGGTGATGTAGTTAGTACTGGTTCAATTAATATTAACTGAGAATTTGCTAATGAACCAGGCTCTGTTTTAGGTGCTGACTATACAGAAGTGTACAAACATAATTTTTCTGTCCTTAAAAATGGGGTGGGGACAGACATAAAAATTTAAATTCATACAGATGCATATATGATAAATTATGTTGCCAAGTGCTGTCTTCCTGACTTTAGTTAAGTGCCATCGAGTCGGTTCTGACTCAGCAACCCTATATAGGTTTCTAAGGAGCGGCTGGTTAGTTTGAGCCACTGGCCTTGTAGTTCAAACCAACCTTGCAATCCAGTGCTTATCCGGTAGCATCACACCCTAACTCTTAGTGACCCCATAAACAACAAATGTTGCCTTATTCTGCACTAGCTCAGTGATTTTGTCTATAAGCCCATTGTAGCCACTGTGTCAGATTATCTTGAGGGTAGTCTGACCTTCTACCAACCATGGTTTGGGGATTGGTTCCTTGTGATATGTCCAAAGTACGTGTGACGATCATACCATCCTTTTGAGCATTCTGGCTGTACCTCTGGCAGTCCATCATAGATCCAATATTCACTAACATTCTTATAAATCAATTCTTTGATCATCCTATTCCTTGTCCAGCTGTTCCATGCATATGTTGTTGTTGTGTTGTTGTTAAGTGCCGTCGAGTCGGTTCCGACCCATAGCGACCCTGTACAGGGTTTCCGAGGGTGTAAATCTTTACGGGAGTAGAAAGCCTCATCTTTCTCCCGCGGAGCGGCTGGTAGTTTCGAACCGCTGACCTTAAGGTTCGCAGCCCGATTCGTAGCCACTACGCTACCAGAGCTCCTTAGGCAATTGAAAATACTGTGGTTTGGGTCAGGTGCACTTTAGTCTTCAAATGGCATCTCTGCTGCTTAACACTAAAGAAGTATTTTGCAGTAAATTTACCCAAAGCAATACAGTTATTTTGACTGGTGAGAGTCAAGAGAGTTGATGGTCCAAAAAAAGACCACGAGCGTTGTGGTTACTCTTCATTATTTAAAACGCTGGCCATTTTTATTGGAAAATAAATGCATGGTTTATTTTTTTCACTACTGTGGAGTGAATGCTGCTAATGATCCCGGAATCACCTGGATCGACAATAGCCTCTTGGTCTCTATACAGGTTCTGCATGAGCACGATGAAGTGTTCTAGAATCCCCATTCTCTGCAGTGTGATCCATAATGCCTTTGTGTAGTCTGAAACACGGGTAGACATCTTTCTAGTAAGTGAGGTACTATGAAAAGAGATGATCTAAAGAGGGAGTTGCTCGTGCCTTCTTAACGCCTAGAACATAGGGAGAGCATTAGAGGTGGGGGATGAGGAAAGAAGTAGCAATAACTTAAATACAAAGAGCGTAATGAGACTCTTATACTAGATAGTCTCAAGGCAATTACAATGCTTCAGATGTTGCAGGACAAGAGTTGATGGATCCAGCAAAAACCATGAGAGTTGTAGTTAAGAGTTTTTTGTGTTTTTTTGCTTAAAGCTCTGGCCAGTTTTTAAGAAGCTGCAAGGTTGACTCTTCACCCACCTGCCCTGGCATGCATCTAATGAAACCAAAATCACCTGGATCAATGGTTGCCAGTGTGCAAACTAGTGTCCTCCAAAGGTTGTGCCAAAGTCAATATTATTACCACTGTAGGGATGGATGCCAGTTTGGGCCAGCAACGATGTACTATATTCTGGATTTTCTCAAGACCCAGCAGATGTTGGTGAGACTGGGAGGTTTCATTTTGCTTTGATCATCGTCAGTCGGTGTGCGTCCTGCGTGTGTTTGACACACTTCATCACGAGGTGGCGTTTGGGGTTGGTCTACTCTAGTGACTTTGCTGTCTTCTTTGTCATCACTATCTTCCTGCCTTCCTTGCAAGATGGCCCCATCCAAAAGCAGCCACTAAGATGGCTGGGAGGGAGGAAAGAAAGCTGTATTCATGCTTATCAATAGTGATATGGCTGGTCAAAGGGCATTTTTTTAAAAATGGGTTTATTGAGATATGAGGGGACTTCAAAATTTTTGTGGAAAAACAGAATGAAGAGATAATGGAAATTTTCAAAAAACTTTTTGAAGCCCCTACATATAATTCACATACCAGACAATTCTCTCATTTAAAGGGTATACTTCAATGGTTCTTTTTAGCATATTCAGAGTTGTAAAAATTTTAGAACATTTTTATCTCCTTCAAAAGAAACTGCCCTTTAAGTTACCTCATCTCTCCACCTCCATCCCTGGAGGAGTTTATTTATTT